AGGGGGAGAAATCCCTTGCTGTATACTTCTCAACCCTGAAGTCTCTGTGGCAAGAAATTGATCTAATAGAAGCTGTAACTTGGGACACCACCAATGATGCAGAGACCTACAGGAAACTAGTTGAAAGAAACAGGGTGTTTGAGTTCTTAACCGGACTAAACCTAGAATATGACATCACAAAACATAATATTTTATCCAAGGAAAGTGTCTCATTGTCACAAGCGTATGCTTTGGTGGGTAGTGAAGAAAGCAGAAGGATGGTTCAGGTTCAAGGGGTTGGTATTAGTGATCACTTTGCGAATATGGGGGTTAAACCCAAAGGAGTTGTGGGGGCTCCTAGTGGCTCTGGAAAGAAAGAGGTTGAATGTGAATACTGCAAGAAGCCAAAGCACACCAAAGACAAGTGTTGGAAATTAAATCCCGATCTTGTTCCTATTTGGTTTCAGAAGTTGAGTCTGCAAATGTGGCTGCTGGTCCAGATATTGAAGTTGAGTCTGCTTGTGTACAATTGGCAGCCATGAAAGCAGAGTATGAAAAGTTTGGGAAGATGATCAGTCATCTCGAGGGTGTAACTTCTTCCTACCCTTCAAGAAATTCAGCTCCTTCTGCTTCTGATCATATGACCAACCTTTCTACTTTGTTTGTTTCATATGATTTGCTTCCTGGACGTGATAAAATCACCTTAGCCGATGGTTCTCTTGCCTCTATTTCTGGCAAGGAAACCATCAAGGCTACAGATTCCTTCCTCCTATCTTCTGCCCTTCATGTACCTAGACTAAATACAAATTTGTTATCTGTAAGTAGTTTAACCAAGTCATTAAATTGTTGTGTAACATTCTTTTCTTCCTACTGTGTTTTTCAGGATCTGGAGTCTCAGAAGGTGATTGGGAGTGGCCATGAGGCGAACGGAATATACTTGCTTGATACTCCTGGACAATGCCCTGATCAGCCTAGGAATGTTGCTTTTGGGTCTGTTTCTTCAGAGTCTACTAGTCGAATTATGTTGTGTCATCGTCGTTTGGGTCATCTGTCTTTTTCTTCTTTAAGTCATCTATTCCCTGAACTGTTCAAGGGAATTAGTGTGTTTAGTCTTCATTGTGAATCTTGTGAGTTATCAAAGCATTGTAGAAACAATTATCCTTTGAGCAATAAAAGATCTTCTTTTCCTTTTAATATTGTGCACTTTGATGTGTGGGGGCCTTACCACTTACCCTCTATGGGGGCTACAAATATTTTATCTTGTTTATTGATGACTTTTCTTGGTTCACTTGGATATTCTTGATGAAATCTCGTGATGAAGTTCCAAGACTTGTAAGACAATTCCATGAATTTGTTCGAACCCAGTTTGATACCAGGATTAAAATTTTTAGATCTGACACTGCAAAAGAATATTTTGAGAAGAGCTTATCCTGCTATCTCTCTGACATGGGGGTTATTCATCAAAGTTCCTGTGTTAGGACCCCAGAACAGAACGGAGTTGCTGAAAGAAAAAATAGGCATATTGTTGAAGTTGTAAGAAGTATTTTGTTTGCATCACATGTTCCTACAAGATTTTGGGGTGATGCTGTCCTCACTGCTACCTACCTCATAAACCGTATGCGATCCAGGGTTTTAGGGTTTAAGTCTCTGTTGGACGATTTTTGTAATTATGTATTATATCTGATTATGTGCTATTTTAGGTAGTTGAGAGATTTGTGAACTGTACAAATTTTTAGGAATCAGCTTTATCTTTCCTTTAATTAGGGAGATTTGTTACCTAGTTTGTATCCTAGAGAGAGCTATAAATTTCGATGTACAGAAGCATAAATGATTATCCCATTCTTCATATCTTTCTGTCTCTTCTTTATGGTATCAGAGCAGAAAAGACCTAGGCATGAGTAAGGAGAAGTCATGAAATCTGATTATCCCATTCTTCATATCTTTCGATGTACAAAAGCATAATTGAGAAGTCATGAAATTTGATTGCACAATTACTGTAGGTTTATTGCTACTATTTAATGAAGCCATGAGTGAGGAACTGTCCTGCCTACCTAGAATCTAAGAAGACCACCAAATCTAAGAAACAAAAGAAAGACAAGGCATTAGATGCCTGTCACTTCTGCAAGCAGGCCGGCCACTGGAAGAGGAACTGTCCTGCCTACCTGGAATCTAAGATAGGTACTTTCGAAACTTGTGTCATGGAAACTAATTTATTAGTAACTTCTGTGTCCTGGTGTGAAGGAGAGGTGTCACTTTACTTGGGGACTTCTGCAAGTGTTGCAGCTACGGCGATAGGAACCGTAGAATTAAATTTTAGAGAAGGGATTCTTGTACTGAAAGACTGTCTTTATGTACAAAATCTAAGAAGAAATTTGATTTCTGTTTCTAAACTGTGTGTGGATGGATATACTGTCTCTTTTAGTAATGTGATTACTATCAAAAGGAACAACAAATTCAT